ACGCGAATGTTCTGGACACACATGGAATTGAAGGATGATCTGTGAACACTATTACTGTTCCCGAGACTAATTTATGATTGGTCAAAAAATGGCGCATCTATTCTATATGTGAGAGTATGGCAACGTACATTGCAATGGTCCCTTTGAGCACAGTGGTCTGATTATAGTTCTCTCCCTTTAACTGTTCGTAGATATAGTCGATCCGAAATCGGTTTGCTTAATTGGTTTCGGTGAGCACGTGGAAGGGGCGAGAACGAGGCGATATTGATGGAGAACAGGCGACAGCACTGCTGGACTGTTTTTTAGTGTCAATAAGATGCACTGTATTATTAAAGATTCGACGACTTTTGTATTGTGTTTTTTATTAATGTAACTTCACTCGGTTACATATATATAGGGCTTTGCCCTTAAGTGGATGGATGTCCCTCTCCCGCATTTTTTCTATGGATCCCGCTATGGTTGGGTGCTCGTGGACTTGGTTCAACCAGTGAAACGTCATGTAAATCTATTTTACTAAATTGATTTACCAAAATTGAAAATGAGTTCATCAATTGATCAACCTTATCTTACCCTATAGCTCAGTTCTTCTCAACCTCAATGAGGTCATTCCTCCATGGAAGATTTCTTTCAAATTTGGTCCTCCTAAAAATAAATCAGTGGTTTTGAAACGTATATATATTAATAAGCCGACTAAGCCTTAAAGTGTGAAATGGATTTCCCAAACTGTTTTCGCAGTGAATAGTTTCGAAAGAATATTTGGATGATATTGCAGAGCAGACTGTGAGACCCACTTAGTGGCTTACTTACAATTTCGCACGTGGAATGAAGTGACTAATTAGTTGATAGTTGTGTATGCAGAATTGACTACAAGAGAGACCTACTTCAATAACCTACAGTGTGTTTTCACTCAGTGACAGTACCTATCTAATCTAACCTGCACAATCTACTAATAGGTAAATTAAATAGGTTACGCAATTTATTGGAATTTTTGTGTTGAGTTTATTATTTAAACATTTATGACGTATGCATTCAAGATATATCACATTGCGGTTAAATTATTAAGTTGAGGGGCATTATTATCCATATACGATATTATTGTTTATCAATGTATAACGTTGTATTAACCTATTGTCACATATTCCTTTAAATCTTTATATTCAATATTAACTATGGCTAAAAAGGAAGTTTAAAAACTACGAAGAGAATTAGCGGAATTAACATTTAAAATAGATGACGATAGACAACAAACCATTGACGAAGCCTTAAAACGTTTTGAAAGTCAACATAGGGGTACTGTTGAACAATACGAAAATGAACAACATCGTTTGCGAACTGAAGTTCAACTTCTTTCGGACCAATTATCTAGACGAAATGACCGACAGCCATATAGAGATCATCTTTATATATATGGAAAAGTTAAAAAGTTTACTAGTACTTTTCACGGAAACAAACCGCAAATTGATATTTTTAAAGGAATGGCTAACAAAAGTTCACATAGCTTTAGATAACCCAGTATATAAGGGACACAAGGGTAAAGTTTTTTCATTATTATTAGAGAGATACGCTAAAACTAATTGGGAAATTATGCCTGATGCATTTAAATCTGACTATGATTCAGATGTTAAAACAAACATTTATTGGACCGTTACATAAACATACCAAAGGCATCCTGTTTAATGAAGCTCATATGGAATCTGATGAAACCTATGAAGGATATGCGACTAGATTACGGATTTTAGCCCGTGAACATTACGATTTCGAATCACATGTGATAGAAACCGTTGTGATAGATAGATTTATGAATACTATTCCGGAAAAAGTCAAAGATATATTCTCAACACAATGAAACTATTTTAAAATCATTAGAGAAGATTATACATATTGCCAAAACTAAAAATAAGTTAGATGAAATGGAATCCGTTACACATGCTGCAGCAACTTCGACTATAGCGAGAGCTGAAGATACACGACGATACGATGATCCGAATACTGACAGAGAAAGAGAACAGCCTCGTTTCAGAAAAGAATCATCACCCGAGCAGAGATATAGACACAATTCTAGATCCAGACAGAACACTAATTATGACTCTGATGAGCGACAGTATCGTAATGCATACAAGCGAGACACACGTGATGATGGTTATAAACGAAGACGTATGCGAGGCGATGACGACAATAATCACAGAACAGGTGACCGAAGTTCGCGATTCCTGGATTAACTAGCGTGATAACTTTCAGAACAGATATCAACCAAATCAAAACCATTATAACAAAGATTTCACCAGAAATAGACACACTTCGCCTAGAAATAAGCGCTACTCCCGTAGAATTGATCGCCGAGATCCATCATCATATCAAAGAGTTTGTTTTAGAGATGATGTTTGCTTTAATTGTCAGAGTCATTTTCCGCACCAATGTCCGGGTCCTTCACACCAGTCATTTCCTGTTAACAATGATCGTAACAATATTCCTCTACAACCTCCAGAAATACGATACCGATCTGATCTGTAGCAATAAAACTTGGAAGTCAACGAATAAAAGCATTTCTAGATGGCGGAGCCAATGTCTCTCTCATGAATAAATGGTTTTATGACAGATTACCAAGTTCGTGTAAAATAGATTTCAAACCAGACAATGCTAATATACATTCTGCAAATGCAACGATATTTAAACAATATGGTATGGCTACAATAGAGTATATTTTTCATGGACTACAAGATGTTCATCATTTTTATGTTGTAGATAACTTAACTGAAAGATGCTTACTAGGTAGAGACTTTCTTGTGAAAAACGCCAAGTAATTATACATTGCCCAAATAGGGGAGATCTCTCTGAGCCAGTAACAACAGATCCTCGTGCTCCAACTGTTTCCAGAGTAGCTCTCGGTAAAAATGTTAACATCCAACCAGGTGAACAATTAATTTTACCAGTAACCGTAAATCCGAATAAGACAACAACATACGATGTTCTTTTAGAAACTAACTGTAATTTTACAGAAAAAACAAATATCATGATTGCTTGGACACTGACCAATGTTAAGAACAAATCTGCAACACTTATGATGACGCACATAGGAGATGACCCAATAGCGTTACTTAAAGATGAACCAATAGCATGGGCTTGTACAATAGATAAAATCAAAAGTGTATCTGAAGGAATAGTTTCTCAAAAGACACGACCTTCAGATGAACAAAACATTTCAAATAACAAGAAAAGGTTTGATACATCTATGATGGTCAATGACAACACCCTTACACCCAACCAATGCAAACAACTAAAAGAAGTACTTGCAGAATAGCAGGACATTTATATGGAACCAGGTAAACGATTGGGATATTCTGTGAAAACATTTCATACCATTGATACCAGTGACAGTCGTTCTATATCAGTTCCTGTAAGAAGGATCCCATTTCATTTACGAGATGAAGTTTCGAAACAAATTCAGGATATGAAAAAACAAGATATCATAGAAGAATCAGACAGTCCGTGGTGATTCCCAATTGTTCTTGCCAGAAAGCCAGATTCAACATTTCGCATATGTATAGATTTTCGTTAACTGAATCCGCTTCCAAGAGTAGACCAAACCTTGGATAGTCTTTCAGGTGCCTCAATATTTAGTAATATTGACTTTGCAAGTGGTTATTGGCAATTGCCATTGAATATGACTTTAATGCAGAAATGTGCATTCGCCGCACCAGATGGTGGCCTTTATCAATTTCGTCGTATGCCCTTTGGACTTGTAAACGCACCTGCAACCTTCATGCGATTAATGGAATTGGTTTTAAAGGGTTTACAGTGGCAATATGTGTACTGTATTAAGAAAACATTGTTAAAATCTCATCAGTTGCTTATTTTCCACGACCTACTGACGTCACCGAAATTAAATTATTCCTCGGACTACCAGGATATTATCGACGACATTTTTATTTTAAATAGTTTATGATTGTGTTATTACAGTATGATATATATTATATGTTTTTGCACTTAAGCAAGTTACATCACTATAATATCTAAACAAACTGCTGTTCTTTACATTGACACACCCTATTCAGTCTTTCCACGAAACGCCAACGCATTTCTAAACGGAGAAGGAGTTTATTTATCAATTCGCAGTAAGTATTTGGTCAAGATTTAAAATATGATGCTGTTTTACAATATTTGTCTGGTCCTATGATAAGGGGCATGTTCTTTATATTAGATCCTTATTGTTTTTAATAGTAGATATAACTGGGATGACAAATAACTACCGACTTCGTTTCTGGGTGGAGTCAGTCAGTCGTCTCTAAACCAAAGTCACGTACAAATATCACTGCAATGGAGTCATCTCCTCGCTAAGGATTATTAGATTTATGCTTTAACGACAAAGTCTTGTGAGGTTCAATTTGTAGGACGTCGATATTAATTTTATCAAAGCCTTTTCTAATTTTGACTGACTTTGTAAATAGTTTACGGCATCGACTTCTAGATGGTTGACTTAACTAAAGAATACTGAATGATTATAATGAAATTTCATTACTAAGAGAGAACAGGCTTCGGAACACAAAAAACAACTTTTTGTTTAGGTGTGTATTATTGTAGAGCATCGAGGAATAAAGACACACCCAGCCAAAGTTAAACAAGATTAAGAATTTGATAATAATTAAGAAAATGACTTTAAAATATTTCAATTGAAATTAAATAATTATCTCTCTGCCAAATCAAGTTGAACCCATAAAATTGACTACCCGGTACAGTAATTAGTAAATTGGCTACATGGTACAGTAAGTAGTAAATTGACTACCCGGTACAGTAATTAGTAAATTGAATACCCGGTACAGTAAGTAGGAGATTAACTACTCGGTACACTAAGTAGTACAGTAAGAAGTAAATTGACCACCCGGTACAATAAGTAGTAAATTGACTATCCGGTACAGAAAGTAGTACAATAAGTAGTAAATTGACTTCCCGGTACAGTAATTAGTAAATTGACTTCCCGGTGCAGTAATTAGTAAAATGACTACTCGGTACAGTAAGTAGTAAATTGACTACTCAGTACAGTAATTAGTAAATTGACTTCCCGGTGCAGTAAGTAGTAAAATGACCACTCGGTACAGTAAGTAGTAAATTGACTACTCAGTACAGTAAGTAATAAATTGACTTTCCGGTACAGTAAGCAGTAAATTGAATTCCCGGTACAGTAAGCAGTAAATTGACTACCCAGTACAGTAATTAGTAAATTGACTACCCGGTACAGTAAGTAGTTAATTGACTACCCGGTACAGTAAGTAGTTAATTGACTACGCGGTGTAGTAAGTAGTTAATTGACTACGCGGTACAGTAGGTAGTAAATTGACTACCCGGTACAGTAAGTAGTGAATTGACTACCTGGTACAGTTAGTAATAAATTAACTACCAGGTACAGTAAGTAGTAAATTGACTACCCGGTACAGTATGTAGTAAATTGACTACCCGGTACAGTACGTAGTAAATTGACTACCCGTTACAGTATGTAATAAATTGACTACCCGGTACAGTAAGTAGTAAATTGACTACCCGGTACAGTATGTAGTAAATTGACTACCCGGTACAGTAAGTAGTAAATTGACTTCCCGGTACAGTACGTAGTAAATTGACTACCCGTTACAGTATGTAATAAATTGACTACCCGGTACAGTATGTAATAAATTGACTACCCGGTACAGTAAGTAGTAAATTGACTACCCGTTACAGTTAGTAGTAAATTGACTACCCGATACAGTTAGTAGTAAATTGATTACCCGGTACAGTATGAAGTAAAATATGCAAACAGTCCCGGGGGTCCCAAATTGTACCTCTACGTCAACCCTTATTTCTATCAAATTATAAAATATGATTTTCATACGTTTTTTACAATCCTATATAATATGTACCTCCAGTCTAGGGAGGATTGCACCGCGACTGCCAAAATGGCTGCTCTGCAAAACGTGTCTTCCAGCACAATTTTTTACATATATAAATTAAGTAAATAACAAAATAACACAAAATTGTTACTATGTTTTTCTCCCTGAAGATACTAACTGAAACATGTAGGAGATAAAATTTTGTGTTATTTTATTATTTACTTAATTTATATACTACTGTGTATCAGAAATAATCTACTAAACTTATATATATATTACACTGATATTTCTGGCTGGGCTATCAGTCATTACAATTAAATCCTATTTTTCAGGCAAGAGGTTGTATTTATCAAGACCGATATATAAGATTAAAGTGTTTTATCAAGAGGAATCGTATTGTGTTATAACGAATTTAATGTACAAGTACAATATCTCAGTGTTATCGAAGTAAATTAAATGATTTGTAAGGGCCTTAAAATACGTGTCAACTAAGTCAAAAAAATATGCATCTGGTAAAAATAATTAGAAATAGAAAGCTGAACTTTCTGTTTATATTGTTACTGGGAAGTATCTTGACTGTCATGTTTCAACACGTAACTCACTCTGGAAAATGCATTCTCAAAATGTCACAGACTAAATCATCAATATCGAATATATCTATAAATTCAATGCAAAAGCAACATAATCAAACAGCTCATTCCATTTCAACAACAAATATTCCATGGATACCGATAGCCACCGTTAATCCAATGAGAACTAAAGCTGAAATATTGAGATGGAATCGTGGTTCTTGGGAAGAATGGAACAATTTCTGTCATAGTTCCACTGGGTTGGATTCTGCTAATTTACACACTCCTGCAGGTGGAATGACAATTTTCATTCATGATACAAAAGTTGACAGATGGGTTTCTGGTTCCATAAAAAAGAGCGGAGCATGGGAATATGAAATCCTGACATTAATACACCATTACATGTCACGTGATCCAGATATGCATTTATTGGACATAGGTTCTCATGTCGGTCAATACTCGTTAATTGGAGCCAGAATGGGACGTCAGGTCATCGCTGTTGATCCCTTGTATGAAAATGTAATTCGACTTTGTTCTTCTATTCAGCATAATAAGTTTAGTTCGAAGATAAAGGTATTCTACACGGCATTATCGGACATCCAATCTACAGCATCTTAATATGGAATGCGGAACATCTATAGTGAGAAAAGAATTAAACGACTTAAAAGCTGTCTTGAACCAAAATGTTAAATCTAGCACCACCAGGACGGACAAAAACCGTGGTGGTAAAAGTCACTTTTCACTGGTCCAAACACCCTCAGAATTTGATAAGAACATGATTCAAACAGTTTTACTTGATGACCTCTTACCATTTGTAACTTTTAAAAAAGCTTTTATGAAAATCGACGTGGAATTTCATGAAAATTGTGTTTTAAAAGGTGGTGAACAGTTTTTCAAATCAGTAGAAATTCCGTATGTTTTCATGGAATGGTCTCTCAGGCAACCAGACACAGGAGGTCAAATTTTAGACTTTATGAAACGACACAAATACACTCCTCGACAACCAAGTATTCACAATATTCCATTGCAATTTAAAGATTATGTTAAATGGCCAAAAAATGTACTTTGGGTAAAATTGTAACTACAAGGCAGTGGAAATGTGAAATTAACAAATGAAGATGGATTTCAGCCAGAAAATGGGTTTTTTCATTTAATTTAAAGAAATACATAACACGTAATTTGTGCATGTGTCCGTTAATTCACGAAACCTAAAGCTATAACTTTTGAAAGATTTTGTTTTCTATATTTGGTGAGCAGGTTTTGAAGAAAGTGTCCGTAATACAGAAATCCCAGATACTTTCTAAAAAAATTACTTAATAATAGAGAGACTACGATTGCCAAATGATTTTAATTTTATGCTTATTTATTTTGATGAGCACTGATATTGTATATAGGTGTCTCTGACGCCCAGACTTCTCGCCAAAACGTGCATAGACAAAGAGGGACTGGATGAAGGGGTTAAAGATGCAGATGTTCCCTACGATGGCTCACATACTACATATGGACTTAAAAAGTTTTTAATTAAAAATTCGTTGAATTATCACCTACGTGGAAATTATTTTTAAGTTTTTAATTAAAAAATACAGAATTGACACCTTATTTTCCCCTAGGCACAATTTATTATCACTTAGGTGAAAATTATTACTACTTAGGTGACAACTATTATCACTACCCGGTTCAGTAAGTAGTAAATTGACTACCCGGTACAGTAAGTAGTAAATTGACTACCCGGTTCAGTAAGTAGTAAATTGACTACCGGTGTAGTAAGTAGTAAATTGACTACCCGGTACAGTGAGTAGTAAATTGACTACCCGGTACAGAAAGTAGTAAATTGACCACCCGGTTCAGTAAGTAGTAAATTGAATAACCAGTACAATAAGTAGTAAATTGACTACCCGGTACAGTAAGTAGTAAATTGACTACCCGGTTCAGTAAGTAGTAAATTGACTACCGGTGTAGTAAGTAGTAAATTGACTACCCGGTACAGTGAGTAGTAAATTGACTACCCGGTTCAGTAAGTAGTAAATTGACTACCCGGTGTAGTAAGTAGTAAATTGACTGCCTGGTTCAGTAAGTAGTAAATTGACAAGTGTAAACAAACCGGGAGAATCCACAACATAATATTTGATGGAATTGTGTTTGATTTGTCGTTAGAAGCAGGTGACGAGCCTCTGACACTTTCGATTGCATTATCGGTATCAAAAAATCAGATAATACATTCATGTGACATAGAATACGACATAACATTCATCAATCAAAAAAATGCCGAGTTTTCTACAAGATCAACAGGAACAGGCTATTTACAATCAAAACAGGGGCATCCTTATGAAAACAAAATTGTGAAGGTTGATCTTATAAGATATCGAGACGCTGTAGGTAACAGGAATGGTT